CTGTGCACGCGCGTGTCAGTAGGTGTGAATAGGCCATTTGTTGTCATAGAGCTCTCTTGGATGCAATGTTTTCTATCTTCCTGTCAGCGCTGACACCTCTGGTCCGCATCACTCTCTGGCTGTGGCCATGAAGGGCATGATTGGTCAGTCTGCCAGGACTCATACATCACATCCTGTCTCCACACAGGAAATCCATCCCCCTTCCCCTTATCTCAGTGTACTCTCAGCCGACAGCAATCTGGCATCATCAGCAATGGATGTACAGTACAACCCCTCCTACCTCTCTATTTTGCTGTAAATATCTCTCACTCTCTCTTTATCTCTCTCTCTCTCTCTCTCTCTCTCTCTCTATGCAACAGAGATGCGCACCACTGATTTTGAGGCTCCAAATCGATATCAGAGATCATGCATTTGATTAAAGTGGACTGAAACAAATGCAGTTGTTCCATTTTCTTACTCGGCCCAATGCCAGTCTTCCATTTTTACATTACTAGTCCCTCCTCCTCATGAGCTAACTGTCGATACATTGTGAGAAAGGGGAAAAAAGTGATTAAATAGTCATGTTCTCATGGCCCTGAAACTGATCAATGCCGAATATGAAAGACATTATTACTTTTATTGATATACTGTGGGGGAAATTATATTAGAGGAAAGATTAGATTTAGTGACAACATAGGAGTCACATGCTATCTGGTCTCCCCAGGTGTGACAATGAAACTGATGGACGAGGTGGCTGGAATTGTGGCGGCCCGACACTGCAAGACCAACATAGTCACCGCCTCTGTGGATGCCATCAACTTCCATCGCAAGATCATGAAAGGTAAGGAAATGGTAAACGGGCTGTTATCCATACGGGTGTCCCTCAGAGCTGAGTCCTTGGTCCCCTCCAATTTACTAAAAGCAATGTAGAACAAAACGTGTCAATACAAAATAATATACATGCTGCATAATTACAGGTAATTCACTTGATTGGAGATTTATTTACAGCTTTATATTAAATACCTTTTTATTTATTCAGACATGTTTATTAGAATGACTGCTGTGGTGCAACGGTACAGCACGTCCCAGCTGTTTTTTGTTAGTTTTTTTCATGGTGCTCCTTCTAGTGTAGGTTAACCTGCTAACTGATGATTAACAGCTTCAGAACACACCATTACTTGAGAATGTGTCAAATCCAACTGCCTTTATTTTTGACCTTCGACAAGCAGCATGTTGCGTGTGGATTAGCTAACCTGTGTCACATTTGAGATAATCAATACCAGCCACTTTTGTTGTACAGCATATCTGGAAAAAAAACATGGTATTTTACCTTATTCACCATTTGCATGATTCCTGGCTGGGCTATTGTCCCTTATTGCGCTATTGAGAGGATATGAATCATTTATGACAATCCATTATTTCCTCCTTCCTTCCTGTTCCCTTGCCTGGATGTCGATACAGTGAATAATTTATTCTCCGCTTGAGCCACAATCCTCTCAGATTAGTAAAAGCAATAGGAGCCTCCACACAGAATGTTGACGTACTGTTGATCTTGGGTGAAGGCCATTATCAATTAAACCTGGCAGAGGGACACATCCATTTCTGAAAAATTGACATTCTATCTGCATAATCTGAGTGAGAAACTGTCGTTCCGTGACATTGTTGAGCCTTATGCCATGTCACAGTCTTGGCTCAGCAGCAATTACCCATCTGAAACTCCAGACCTACCTTGTGAATCTTTTATAAACAGTGTTTAACTCAAAAGCTATAAAACCCTCGTTAGTGTTATCATTCCAGGGTTTTATTGGTTGTTTAGTTGCCCAGGCTGTGATGGGTGTGATGGAAGGAGTCAGGCGCAGGAGGGTAATCACAGAATACAGAGTTTATTCCTTCGTTACACAAATGCGCTGAAATAGCGACAAACGAAACAGGCACAGGGGAAACTATCTACCCTGGCAATACACTGTAACGGTATCTCCATACAATACATAGGCACAGGGGAAATATCTACCCTGGCAACAAAATGGTATGAGTAGCTCCACCGAGCTACACTACTCTCACATTCCCAGGATACTAAAGTCTAGTGTAAAATTAAATACATTATATAATAACCCTTTGGGGTTTACAGGTGTGATGAGTGTGATAGAATGAGTCAGGCGCACACTACTCTCACAAATAAACAATCACCCACAAGGACAAGGGGGCAGAGGGAACACTTATACAAGGACTAATGAGGGGATTAGAACCAGGTGTGTGTGATTGACAAGACAAGACAAATGTGATGATGATAATTGGGGCGGCAGTGGTTAGTAAGCCGGTGACGACGAATGCCGAAGCCTGCCCGAACAAGGAGGGGAGGCAGCCTCGGCGGAAGTCGTGACACAGGCTCATGCTTTTCGAGACGGGTTTTGTTCTCAAGGAAAGTTTCTTCATCATGTTTCTCATGGAAGCCATGTTAATTGATGAGGTGCATTTGATGTCCTGGATGGAGGGAGCTGACAGTTGGTTATGTGGTAAGTACTAGCCCTTAGAAGCAAATCAATCTAAGCAGTTGTCTTACTTTCTTGCCTTGATTTGGAAAACCGTACCCTCACGGTGAAGGTAGCAGTTTGAGGCTGAGCAGTGAGCACTAAAGTTGTTGTGTTATGACATGATCCAGATACACAGTGCTGTATTTATTCCAGTGATGCCAGTGTTATGGTTGTCATCAAGCATGGTGTTCCCATCCCACGATGTAGGGATCAGTAGGAGACAGCCATAGAGGTATGTGGTCTGTTAGCATTAAGAGAGTATAGTCGAAATGGTGCCTCTCTGCATCTCATCAATCAAGAGTGGACAGACCCACCTAGACCTGTCAGATAGCCTCCTCAGACAAAAACACAATCAATACTGTCACTGACTCAGCTACCTCTGCCTTTGCAGCATCCTGTGTAGGCCTATGTGTTCAGACCGTGTGATCGCTGTTGAATACTCGCACAGGGTGCAACCGTTTGTCTTTTTAGAGAACATTGACAATACGAGAGTCAAACAGGATGCTAGCGCATCAGGAATATATAGTTGCTCAGCACTGAATGCTGGTCATCTCTTCAACCTGTCAACCCACACAAGGTAGGGGGGTGTTTCGGCTTATTGACGATGGAAAAAGACTGTAAACTGGTTGCTCTGAAAGTGGCAGCTTTCAGCTGATTGGTTTATGAGTTGTGGGTGGTCCCACCAATGTCTAACACATGTTCCCTTGGCCTACTCTCTGCACGCACACAATTCATTCTGTGTTTATACAGGACTTTGACTTATGATGTACAATGTTTTTGGTCCGCAAAACAGCACTGAATGCCGTTTCAAAAACACCATAATACTCAAAGATTTGTAGCAGGAATTATCTTGTAACTTCTCTTTTACTATGTCAGTGTCAAGGTTGTAAATATATATGTGTTACTTCCGATGTATTTTTTTTACCCTTTAGTGTGTGTACTTTACTGTATTTATACTTGGGATATTGCTTTTCAATGGTAAGTTAAAAAATCGCTGGAGGAAGTCTTTAAACAAGTAGCAGTGCACTCTTCCACACAGCACCGAGACTCGAACCTACTTTCCTCTGTAAATGGAAACTAATGGTTTAATCCCATAACAGTATAAAGCCTGTCTAAACCGGGGGAGGGGGGGTACTACTATGCTATATGGAATTGTTTTAAGAAGGTCGTACCAAGGATAATTTTGCTATTTGATTTATAATTTTAACACCCCTTGAAGTATAAAAAAATATAGAAAAAAGTATTTGAAGAAAAATTTTATTTGGCCTTACTGCTATTAGCCCATACTAACGCATTGAATAACAAATTCACTACATGGAACAACAGAAAGTCCCCCCAAAAAAATCTAAAGGAAGTTTGTTCTGAAGTGTATTTCCTATATCTGAGAGATATAGAAAGATCAGGAAACATGTATTCGGTTTTTTTAAACATTTATTTAACCTCTAATTTTTGTCACTAAACAGTCTCCATATATACTGCCATTTATTTTTTAGACTGGTACTGGGGAACTTTCAGATGAGTCTTGTGAGGCCTACAACATGTACGTGTTCATGAGAGTCTCACCTTTACACAGAGGGGTCATATTAGTGTGTAGCCCAAACTGTTCGGACGCTACAGACGATTTTGTGAGAAGGCCGATTTTCGAGACGTCTCATGGTCTGACAAACACCGCTCTAACTCGGTCACCTTTCACCGCAGATGCGGAAGTGTTACATAGGCAGATGCGGTGGATTGAGATCCAATGCAAAAAAAAAACAGATATCTCTAGCTGAGTTTTATGGGGATTTTATTATGATGCTAATTAGATTTCCGCAGGGGTGCGTGTGGACATTGACCTTAAGGGGTTAAAGGGTTTCCATTACTGGACTACTTTTGTGTTTGTCTCACTGTTTCTGTACTGACTAGAATCAGGACCATTTGAAAGATCTAGGGTGAGTGTGTTTACCCTTTTAGACCAGTACTAGACCCAGAGCAAAAACCAGCAGAACTCGGGGGGAGGGGGGCAGAGTTGAGCCCCCCTGACTGTATAGACTGTATTTTCAGTAGTTCAGGCATTACAGGAGGAGAGGGAGCATGTCTCGTAAGGCTGTCTCTCTCATCTGGCCGAGTGTAATGGAAAAAGAAAAGAGGTGAAATTGTGATGAGATCCAGAGTTGATAAGATCAAAGCGAGCAGACGTGAGAGCGTTAGAGGAGTGTGGTTCCTGGCATGGTTGACGCACATCTGTGCAAAGTCTCGGGTGTCAGTGCCAGCGGTAGATGTACTTTCTAGATATACTGCCTGTTTGCCCTTTCAGGTTCACGTCCACATTTTCAGTTTTACTGTGAATGGGCCTAGGTTCTGCACATTTGATGAGTTATTTTTAATGCAGCGATGTTGCAGATGCATTGACATTTTAATAAATAAAAAAAAATACTTTTAAAACTTTTAACAATAACAACTACATTTTTGTTGTTAATACACCATAAAGTGGTTAACCAATAACGTTTCTTTACAGCACAGATTATATTCAGTCTCTATGTTCTCAACAAAGACCATTAGCAAAACCAACCAGATGTAAATTCACACTTAATTGTTATCCTGTGCCGGAGGATATGTTGCTGTGAGCACTTTGTAGTTGGCTGAGATAAAAGTGAACAAGGATGAAAAACAAATAAATCTTAATTATTCCCTGGATGGATGGAACATTAAAAAGCTGAGTTGTTCCGTGCTTAGAAAAAAAGATGTGTGCTTTCTTTTCATGATATCTTTCACTCAGAGGCACAGACACCAGATGTTGTGTTGTAAAAGTCATTGAATGACTTTGAAATAAACATGTAACGAAGCCAGTGTTATTGTTTTTTGGTCTTGCACATCCAAATTCTAAACTGTTGCCTGGCATCTTGGAACCTTCAACTTGTAAATCCATTAGCCGCGGGATGTCTCAAAACGTCCCTTTGAACAATGTCCACAAGAACGTGGCGATTATTTATATAGATATCACGTAAACAGTGCTGAAAATGTGCTATATGCGCTAATTGCAAGCTGCAGTATTCCTGTTATGTTATAGGGTCCATTGATTAAATGTTCCCTCTTCGTCCCCAGGTTGTGTGGTAACTGTCTCGGGGAGGACGACATTCGCCAGTAACAAATCTATGGAGATCGAGGTGTTTGTGGACGCCGATCCTCTGATAGAGGCTGAGAAGGGGAAGTACCGGGCCGTCACAGCCTTCTTCACCTACATCTCCCTTGACAAGCAGGGCAAGCCTCTACCAATCCCCCCTATGAAGGTAGGCACCATAGAAATATAATTCTTAGAAAAGTGAATTGACTCTAACCCCATTGCTTGGTGCCTACCATGGATATGGGTCGGCAGGTAGCTTAGGGGGTAAGAGCGTTGTGCCAGTAACCGAAAGGTCGCTGGTTCTAATCTCCGAGCCGACTAGGTGAAAAATCTGTCGATGTGCCCTTAAGCAAGGCACTTAACCCTAATTGCTCCTGTAAGTCGCTCTGGATAAGAGCGTCTGCTAAATGACTATAATGTAATGTATATAGGAATTATATTTCTATGGTAGACACCAAACAGCAGGGTTGGAGTCAATTCAGTCTGTTCAGGAAGTTAATTGAAATGCAATTCATGAATTTCCAATGGGTTAAGATTTTGGTTGTGGGCGGTCAGGATAATTTCAGCCAACAGCTGCAAACTGAATATGCAATGTCTTGTGTAAGTGACCAATTTGGTTTAGCACACCAACTGAAGACTTTCAGCCAACAAGTCCAGGGCCTGTATTCATAAAGCGTCTCCACAGTAGGAGTGCTGATCTAGGATTAGGTGGCCCCCTGTCCTTGTAATCTTATTTATTGTGATCTAAAAGGCGAAACTGATTATAAATCAGCACTCCTATTTGAGCCGCTTTATGAATACGGTTCCAGGAGAGTGTGGCAGTACATCTAAGGAGCTAAAAGGGTAATTCTTGAATTGTGGTAGCATTTGCATCCCTCGCCTTTGCAACCATGAAATACACTTTAATATGACAAACATTTACACATCATACATGTTTTTGTTTACATTGGTCTGTTTGTCAATGGTAAAACGTAAAACTTTATGTTTATGCATTGTTTAAAGCTAGAATCCTTAATTGGTAAAACTGCCACGTCCGTTTGCGATATTACAACAACAAAGAAGTTACTGCAAACAATGAACAAGTTTTTTCTTCCCTCGGACATCATTGCTCGTGCGATAGAACAGCAGAATATATACTGCAATTTCTACCTTGATGCGCAACGCTTCCCACCTCTGCTTCTTCAACAAAACAAAAATAATAACAACGGCCGTGGGGGCGGACTGTAGCGCTGTTTTCCCCTACTGCGGATTCCGTCTTTAAAGTACTTAGAGTAAGAACCTTTGCTTGTCCCAGTAGTGACCCAGAAGACTTGTAGTGACATGTTCTGGGGATTTAGAGATATCTATACTTTTTTATGATAGAAAGTAAACAAAATAATGTAATATATTGTATAGATCATCAATAAAAACAAAGACGGCCATTAAAATAACTATTGTTTTTACAAATATAATATGTGTCGCGAAGTTTAATATCATTGGTGTTACAGCCTTGAAAATTACTCAGTACAAAGATATACAAGGATCTTTAGCATTCCCTCTAGTGGCAAACTGTTATTGGGGGAGGGGTCTATATTAAAGAAAAGTATTAGCTAATCACACCTTTTAGTCTGTCATACATTTGAGGATTCCATTGATAATTTGGTGCGTCTAAATCAAAAGTGTCACTTGGTGTTACTCAAATTAAGGGAAATTACATTGTGAGCAAAATTATTAATCATATGACTTTAGTAAATTATTTTTAAATGGGTAATTAGGTTAGATTTGAGCGTCTGTGGTCTCCATTTCAGAAAATCCTAATTTACCTAAAATGTATCATTGGTGTAACTGTCATTGGTGTAATCTCGGTTAACCGAGAACCAAAGTCTTGCGTAATTGGTCAGATGCTCGATTAAGTTCTGGGTCCATACGTGTTAAGAGAAGAGACAAAATGAGGATCGGAACCGGAACGAAGAGCAAGTCTCTCTTTGCAAGTTACGGGTAGGTCTATAGGCCAAATGTCTCCTCCCCTTCAGAAATACAAAAGATGCTAACACCTGAGAAATCGTGTGATTTGTCCAAAACACCGGAATTAATCCTGCTCGTTATCTCACACATCCTGTTGTATCATGACAGATCTACGCTACCATTTATGTTTACGTGGTCTGTCCATGAGATTATCATTGGTGTTACTACTCCTACTGGTGGCACAATGTTATCATAATGGTAAAACATATTTAAAGTCATTAAACTGCCATAGTAGTTGATGTAGAATGGGAAGATCTACCCAAATACATTTAGATTTTTAAAACAAATAGAGAAATTGAAGTACATTTTTTCCAAAATGCCATGCCCAAATGCCACAGCAATTCAAGAACGACGCAAAAGACAGATGGAGGACATTGGTTTGTCCTGTGTTATTTCTTTGAAAATAGGCTGGAATGGAAACTGTGCAAGATGAAAGGCTTGCAAGTTAGTTTTGATAAAAGCAAAGTGTGGAAATGAATTGATGTGGCGGTGTGTTTGATGCATTTCTTAGAGCACTGTAGTTAATACAGAGCTTATCCTCATCTAGTGACCCCCCCCACACACACACACACCTATCCTTACCCACTCTGCTCTGTGTCATTCTCTGTCTTGCTTTTACTAACATGCCAAGGGGATTATAATACCACCAGTATAAACTCCACCCTTTTGGAAAGGAACACCATCTAGCTTACACAGACTGCATCCCTAGCCTAGACACTTCCTAGACACATCAGAAAGACAGAACTGTGAACCCCCCCTTTAGTCTCCCATCAGTAAGCACACATTTCCATTTCAGACAAACCTCTGTGGCTTTAGCATTGTCCATTGTGCATTAATCAGCTAGGTTACCATTTCAGATGCCGATAATCAGCTAGGTTTCCATTTCAGATGGTATTTCAGATCCTGATCACAAGGCCTTTGTTTTCAGGGAGACCGAAGAGTGGTGTTGAACATTATTGTAATTTCTGGTGCACCCTTGCTTTTAAAACGCTTTTAATAATTAATTTGTCAGTATAAACAGAAAGCCAAATGAAGCTAGTAGATTTCAGGGGCCCAGTATGTGTATTTCTTATGATAAACTAAAAGTAATAAATCAATATCAGTCAATCAGTACAAGCAAGGAAGATAATATTGTTGGGGATGAGGGGGGCTTAGTGAAGGCTTTTTATGGCTTGGCTGAGAGCTCCAACGAGGGAGGGTGTACCCCTCTGTACACCATTGATCTGAACATTTCTATTCATAGCGATCCCACTGAGCCCCAGAGGCTGGCATCACATGCAAGAGGAAAGGTGTAATGTGTATCACTACAATCAACACCATGACTGTTTTTAAATGAAATGTTAAATAGAAATATATTACTAAATTCATATGGGCAATTTCTGGGTTGATCTGCTATCTCCTGAAATAACTATTTTTGTTTGCGACGTCTTTGCTATCATAATGGATTTGGCACAATGTAATCTGAATACAAAAAATAATCAAACTCATGAAAATACAAAATAAACTGACAGTCGATGTGTGTGTTTGAGTGTGTGTGTGTGTGTATGTGCGAATGCTGGCCTGTGTGTGTACTTAGGGCACTGAACCATGTGCAATTTAAGTAAAAAGAGTGCAGTCAACTCTCTACATAAAAACATCACAACACAGTGTTTTGATTGCCATTCACTCATGGTCTTTAAGAATCACAGGAGGTTGGTGTCACCTTAATTGGGGAGAATGGGTGGTAATGACTGGAGCAGAATCAGTAGTGGAATGGTATCAAATACATCAAACACATGATGGTTTCCAGGTGTTTAATGCCATTCCATTTGCGCCGTTCCGGCCATTATTTTGAGCCGTCCTCCCCTCAGCAGCCTCCACTGCTAAAAATAATATGAACATTGGATGAACAAATGTCAACGTCTCATTCTGTAATTGCACTTGTCATGTTGTGACCGATTACACATTCCAACACTATAAATAGCCCATCGACAGGCCACCGCCTTACATTTTTTGACTCCAGGTGCTTTTTTGCTCTCTCAAGTGAAAAATCTCTGGCGTCTATTTTTAGCATTTCCATTTTTAGCTCAGCGGGGGGGGGGGGGTTAGTTGGGATTGGCTGCCAGTGTCTGTGGATAGGCAGAGGAGGGGAGCGGGTAGAATCAGCCTCAGCATCAGTACCCTTGAACATGATGTAAGCACAATGGGCCACAGTAAGAAAAGAGTGAAAATGAGTAAAAGTCCTCTGACTGTGTGTCCCTGAAGTACGTCGTGTTTCGAGGGATTCAGGAGCCAGCAGTGGTATGCCCATTAATTAGGCTCTCTTCTCTGTACAGATGGGAGGGAAAGTAGATACTGGGCAAAGAGAAATCTGGATTCACTGGACAGACGTTGGCTATTTTACATTAGATTTTTGCACCTCCATCAAGTATGATATGTTACGTTACGTTACAAATGCAATAATGGTCTGGTTACTTAAGACAGAAACAAAAGTAGGGAGGTTGGTCGGTAGGATGGGTGGGTGGGCATATACCGTGACTGTCTAGCAATCCAAAGGTTACGTGTTGGAGTCACGTTGGGGACAACTGTAACATTTTAGCTAACCCTTCCTCTAACCCTTTTCCTTAACTTAATTCACCTAACCTGCTATGTAAATTCTCCTAACCTTTGTGTTAGTTCTCCTAACCTGTTAAGTAAATTCTCCTAACCTTTGTCATTTGTTCAGCTAACCAGCAATGTAAATTCTCCTCCTAATTCTTATTTGTTGTTAGGATGCAACAAGCAGCCTGGTGTCAGGAAAAGACGGATAATACTATACGTCCTCCAAGACAAATGATAAGTTACTTCATCCAATTCGTATGATATTGTACGACCGGGTAAGATGTATGATACTGGGCTCCCGTGTGGCGCAGCGATCTAAGGCACTGCATCGCAGTGCTAGAGGCATCACTACAGACCCTGGTTCGATCCCGGGCTGTATCACATCCGGCGGTGATCGGGAGTCCAATAGGCAGGGCCCAATTGGACCAGCATCGTCCGGGTTAGGGGAGGGTTTGGCCGGGGGGGCTTTACTTGGCTCATCGCGCTCTAGCGACTCCTTGTGGCGGGCCAGGCTGACCTCGGTTGTCAGGTGAACGGTGTTTCCTCTGACACATTGGTGCGGCTGGTTCCGGGTTAAGCAGGCGGGTGTTAAGAAGCGCGGTT